TCAGTTCATGGGGCTCAACTTCCAACTGCCAGTATCTGCATCTCTTTGCTACAGGACTTTCTCTGAATACTGTGCCCATATACACAGAGTGTCAGAAGCACCAGAAAGTCAACACATCTTGTGGTCATCTCTCGATCACAGACTAATGAGGGCTGATATATAAATACGCCAGCTACTTTGAGTTTAGAGAAGGATAAATCTGACCTTTATGTTGCACACTACCTTCAGAGTCTTACTAAGGAATTTACTCTATTTACCCATAATGCTAACTAACCAGCTAGAAAACATACTGTTCATTTATTCCCTGCGTTTTCCTGCCTCATGTCCCCAATATCATCGTACTGATGTGTCCTGAATTTGTCTCCCAAATCAATGAATTTATTCACAAATCTTTACCACAGAATCTACTTCTGGGGAAACCCTGTAAAAGATAAATATTTGAGATATTTCAAGCTATTGAGATAAAATTGAGATATCTCAAAATTAACATGTAAAGAACAAATTTTTTATTCTCCCTGATGCCAGTTAGCAAGGTGGCAGAAAGGGAAAGAAGTATACACCTCTCCATTTCCGAACTTCCTTAAAAGATGGACACATTATTTTAGATGAAGGAAACTCAGCCCTTGAGCATCACAAAAGGCCCTCACTCCCTCACAGGAGATGCCCTCTGTAGCATGCATGTGAGTGATAGCCTGAGCCCAGCTTTTGGCAAATGGCTTGTGATATTTATCCAAACCCTAAAGTCTTTTTTTCTTTAAAGTAAATGACATAGATCCTGTTGGTGACGACAAGAATAATTTCTGTGAGCCAATTCTGCAGGCAGCTATAAACATATCTCTTAAAAATTCTTATTCCTAACCACAATTAGCAGACATTTGGTCCTATCCAAAATGTCCATGGAGACATTTAGTTCACACCAAAAATTCTTTGAAATTTGATCCTATCAAAAAACATAAACACTTGCCCTGACCAGTATGGCTCGGCTGGATGAGTATTATTCCATGTACCTAAAGGTCTCTAGTTTGATTCCTAGGCAGGGCACATACCCAGGTTACAGGTTACAGGTTGATGTCTCTCTCTCTCTCTCTCTCTCTCTCTTCTCTCTCTCTCTCTCTTTTTCTCCCTCTCAGAATCCTTTCCTCTCTCTCTAAAAATCAATACAAACACATTAAAAAACAACAACAGACAATCCAAGAAGTTATCCTTTCATTCAAAAAGCCCATAATGTTTATTTATACTCTGGGTTACGGGATTAAGACATAAAAATGCTATCAGGTTGTATTGGTCCAATGATTGTGTTGTGGCTGTACTGCCAAAAACAACCCTTCTTACCTTGGTAGAAAGGCTCGCAATGACACATGGGGCAGGTAGATAGGTCAGGGCTCAGAGCTTGCAGAAGAGTAGGATTTATATTAACATAATATAAATGGAACTAATGTCTCCATGGATGTTTTGGACAAAACAAAATATGAAGGACCTTTTGGCATGGACCAAATGTCTCAGTGGAAATTTTGGACAGGACCAAATGTCCTGCAAAACAAGTAACCATGTCTGTCAATGCTGAACACTGAATATTTAAGGAGACATCTCAAGAAAAGGAAAAATGTAAAATTTGGCAAATATACCCCAAGGTCCCCATATAACATTAATTTGTGCTTATTAAATTTGTTCCGAGATTTATCAATCTTCCTAAAGCAAGTAATCTAGAATGTTTCATAAAAAGTCGATGGTACTGAAAAATGCAACCACTTTACCCTGGCCATAATTCACGTATGGATGGGAATCATCTAACTCTGAAGGCACAAGCATTTAATCTTACCTTTCATTTAGAAGACCTTGAAAATCAGCATTTCCTTATTTACATAGGAATCACAAGAGGTCTTACTAACAATTCTGACTTCTCCAGTTTAACTACTGATTCAGTAGGGCTAAGAAGAGGACCAGGGAATTTTGCCAAATATCTACTTTCCCTTGCCTCTGTTTTATTTTCTCTGGATGCATGGGGCATTTAGCAGACAGTAAGATCTGATCACTAATTTTTCTCTGGTACCAATAAGCTGACATCTTAGGTGGCATTTGTCTAAATCAAGTAGGCTATTCTGGTCACATCTTTGTTCTCTCAAAGCACAAATTCATCCACCAATTCCCAGGATTTCTAGATATTGAAACTGAAATCAACTAAAAGGAGGTATACAATATTATTTACTAAAATTTGGTATTACACTCTTGAAAGAGTTTTATGTGGTTGATAAAACCCCCAGAAAGTTTTCAGAGGCACTCACTTTTATAACCCGGCACCAATTAGCTATAAACAGCTTGAAGATTTCATCACTAGTTTAAACTTACAGAATTGTTCTGTTGGTTATGTGAGGCTGCATCAAGTTAAAAGTATTCAGCACAGCAAAAGAAACAACCAACAAATGAAAAGACAACCTACAAAATGGAAGCAATTTTGGTAAACCATGTATCTCATAACATCTGAAATATATACAGAACTTTTATGCCTAAATAACAATAAAAAATTCAATTAAAAATTGGCAGGTGAGCATGTCTGGTGTACCTCAGTGCTTGAGCATTGACCCATGAACCAGGAGGTCTAGGTTTGATTCCCAGTCAGGTTACATACCTGGGTTGTGGCCTTGATCCCCAGTAGGGGCATGCAGGAGACAGCAGATCAATGACTCTCATCAGTGATGTTTCCATCTCTCACTCTCTCGTTCTCCCTTTCCCTTTCTCTCTCCGAAATAAATTTTAAACGATGGGCAAGTGATCTGTAAAGACAATTTCTGAAGAGCACATGCAAATGGACAACAGGTGCATGGAAATGGACTGGAAAATCTTCAGGGAAATGCCAATCAAAGCCACAATGAGATATCACCACACACCTGTCAGAATGGCTATTATCAAGATGACAAACAAGTGTTGATGAGGATGTGAAGGAAAGGAAACCTTGTACACCATGGGTGGGAATGTAAGTTGGTATAAATAAGATGGACAAAAGAATGGAGGTTCTTCCAAAAATTAAAATAGAAGTGCCATCTAACTCAGAAAATCCCACTTCTTGATATATATTATAGAGTTGAAAATGGAATATTGAAACAATATCTACACTTCCCTTTTCCATGCAGCATTATTTATAATAGCCAAGACTCAAAAATAATTTATGTCCAATATATTAATGGATAAAGAAGATGTTATATACACAGTATGTTATTCAACCATGAGAAAGAAGAAAATCCTTCCATTTGTGAAAACATACGTGGTCCTTGAGAGCATTATGTCACATGAGAGACGTCAGACAGACAACAACAAATGCTGTATAACTATATCACATACATGGAACTTTCAAAAGCTTAATACATGTGAGAGTGAACCAGAGAGCTTTTCTGTCAAAGAAAGGAGCTCGCCATGATCTTAGGTACCACCATTTTTGATATGATCTTCAGGGATCTGCCATCTTAGACTCTGCCTTACCCCTTCCCCTCCTCTGAATTAGCCAATCGCACAATAATGGGAACCCGAGCTCTGAGCCCTGACCAACCAGGTCAGAGTTCAGAGTGAGGGGCAGGGCAGACCTGAGTCAGGAAATAAAACCCCAATTTCCCATTTGGTGTGCTTTGCCCATGATTTCCAGCTGGCAACATCACCATTCTGTGCAGGAGTAAATTTGTCTTGCTGGTTCAGTTTCTAGTGTTTGTATCATTTCTGCAACATCATTGAGAGCATTTCTAACAATTTGGGGGCTCATATCCAGGATTTACCCTCTTGAAAGGGTCATTTGAACCCTCTCCCTAGAGGAGGCACACCCCACCATCTCGTTTCGGTGGCCTCTGTTAGAGGGAAGCCTATGACACTCTGAGCTGGCAACAGACTCTAGATCGAAAGTTATCAGCAACGCAGGGGAGGGGCCCAGGAAACCAGGCAACTCTATGCATAGACCAAAGTTCAAAAAACTTCAGAGAGAAATTAGTAGGGGCCTTGGTGGTCGGGACATCCTGGAGGTTGTGCATGTGTGTGTGTGTGTGAATGAGATGCGTCCCAGACAGGAAGTGAGTGGAGAGTTCTAATCTGCAGTTTTGTTCTCCCCCAAGGGAAGTGGCCAGAGAGGGATGAAGCAGATCTAGGGGAGTGTGAGAAATCTTCAATAGGGGAGGTTGAGCACAGACAGACAGAAGGAACTTTTCAAGGATGGGAAATAAAAATTCTAGGCCTAGGGAATACATTCCCCCAAAATAGTCCACTGGGTGAACGTTGAGGTTCTGGGGAGGGGCAGTCCCCAAACCAGGGACAGCAGACATTGCTTTTCTTAGGTGTTTTTTGTTGTTGTTGTTGTTTTGTTTTTTTGGGTTTTTTTTTTTTTATGCAGGGCATTCTGTGGTATCTGTGGGTTGTGCACACCTGTAAATATTGTATATAAGTGTTTCTGTTGATGTTTTGTGTCTCTTTGTTTTTTGGCTCAATATGTTTAAAGATGTGGCAGGTTCCGCTTTACTGGGGCCCAGCTGCTTGTGGGCAGGCTGAACATGTGGCAGGGATTGCAGGAACTTTAAGGCATCAGCAGCCAGAAATTCAGGGTTTGAATTTTGAGAGACTTTTTTTCTGTGCGTCTGTAATGTAACCTTAGTCACTGATGTTCTTTGCTGGCTTAGTTTGCTCTGCACCGTTTTATAAACATAGGGAATCCTCTGTCTTTGTGCTGTGTGGGCTTTGTGCCACTCAGAACCAAAGGTCATTTTGCTGTGCTGGGTTAAAATTCTAAGATAGATTCTAAGGCTAATGTCCCAGCCCATCCTTTTTAGAGTATTCATTTATTTACTGTAGGGTTTTTGTTTGTTGGTTTCTGTTTTTTAAGATCTCATGTTGTTACAGTCTATTCAGAAAGAAAAAATGGGAAATAAAACCTTCTGAACCCCGAAGTCTTTTTTTCCTAGGAGGACCAGCTCTGCAGGCTGCAGAAACAGTAGGGGGGAGCAAGGAGGGGGGAGGGCACTCCCATTTTGTAAAGAAAAATAAGCCTGTGACTTATCCCTGTTTTTTTGTTTGTTTGCTTTTTTAAAGTGTTGTGTTTCTTTTTGTCAAGAAAATACTTTGGCAGATTGCAGCTCCGTGGAACCATAAAGGACACACTCAGGGGGCAGATTCAGTGAGCACCAAAGCCCCATTGAAGCAAGTCTTGCCCCGGAGGGGTGTCTCCAGCACAGAAGTTCTCCCACTGTAGACACAGCTGATTCTCACAGCCAATTGGCCTGGAGGTCAATTCCTCCCAGTGATACCTACAACAATCAAGGCTTAACTACAACAAGACTGTGCACAAAGACCACAAGGGGGTGCACCAAGAGTGTCCTCCTCAGGTAATTGGGGAGGCTGAACCACTGGGCCCTAGAGGACACTTAGCGCAGAAAACCACTTTATCAACACAGGGAAGCATAAAAAATGCTGAGACAAAAAAAAGGACACAAAGGACAGAAATGGAGGAAAGCAAACTACTGGATATAGAGTTCAAAACCACACTTTTAAGGTTTTTCAAGAATTTTCTAGAAACTGC